GGAACTCTCGTGTGGATGGTGCAAAGCTTATACAAAACTCTTTGCATTTTGATTCGTTTATCTGAAAACCATCGCCATCGGCTGTTGATTTCTGGTTAAATTCATCAACGTACTTTTGTAAGTTACTTGAGCCATCGCTACAAACTGATTCCGACAAGCATGAGTGGTCAACATATTTCCATAAATCATTAACGTCCTTAACACTTAGATCATTAATCATATTAAAAAACTCATTAATAATTCATGAAGAAAACACAAAGAAAAATCATAAGCGTGTCATATCTGTGTATGTAATACAGATTCATGTTGATTTACATAAACTTTAGCTTTGATTTTCTCGGCTTAGACAACGTTTATTTTTTTTTACCGTCCCAAACTGTTTACTATCGATCAATTCCATTACTGCTGGCTTCACATAAATCATTACAACAAATTCTTCTGCGAATTTCGATAGAATAGGTGTAAGTGAAATAAGGCGTAACTGACGATTGATATCCTGGATGGGATTTTCTTTCGGTATTGGAACTACGTCCGCCTTCTTCCAAACTGGCGGTAGGGTACATTTCCGATATGAACAGTTCAAAATGGCCGCTATCAGGCCAGTTAATAGATCTGCGCTTTCTTTTGTGAGTCACGACGGTATGCCATCGGACCATGAGCGTTTTTGGGATTAAGTTTGGGAAATTTTTGAAAAACAGCATTCGATGTTAACGAAGGTAGGTTTGTTTTAAATCTATCGATGTATATTGTTCGCTTTTATTACGGCTTATTATTTAAAAGCGGTTTGTTGCGTATATTTTAAATGAAAAAGTATTTCTTTATTGATTAACCTTTTTTATTATTATAATATTAAAATTTTTAAATTAAAAAGAAACCAAATTAATTTGTGGCGAAAATTTGAAATCATTTTATCTCAAACTCAAAGTTTTTCGATAAAGGCAGTTTAGGTTTTATAAACAAACATTTTAAAACTTATTGCGATTCGTTTGAGGTTGAATTTTAACTTAAATTGATGCTTATATCACACAAAATAACATACCTAACATATATATGTTTGGGGAATTGATAATTTTGTAATTAAAGTAATTCGGCAGTAATTGTTCCCGAAATGAGAATGTGCTGAAACTTCCCAGGCATGGAGTTTATGATATACTCAAAATAAAAATCACACAAAAAAGTCGGGGTCACCGAACTCGTTAAGAAGATATGACAATCACAATATACCATCTTTACCCCCAATATGGCGCCATCTTGACGCTGATTACGAGTAACAACATAATCACAACAGCTCGATATTTATTGACGTTTTTGGGCGGATTTTGCTTTAGTAAACCTATCTTGTAATTATTTTTGAAAAAATATTGTGTTTTGAGCAAAATGAAACTACTAACGTGTACAATTCTGATCCACAAATGTCTTTTGCACATTTCTTTACATATCTTTCTTTGAGAACATGGATTGATAAAGAATTTTTTTTCAAGATCCAGAAATGATTTTTCTTTTAATTTCGGATATGAAATGTAAAATGCATTAAAGAAATAAATTATCAGTTAAGAAACGGGGGTCACCAATCTTTTTAGGGAATTGTGGCATTAAAACCTGAAATACAAGTAAATAAATATACTACAGCTATATGTGTAAATATACTGCACTTTTGTATGCCTTTATTGAAAACATTGATTTTAACGTAATTCTTTGCACGAATGTAACCAAAGATGTTTTGAAGTAACATAACATTGTCATAAAATGATATTTTGTTTTAAACGGCACGTGTAATGGATGAAATTATAAGTTATAAGATGTGCGCAGTAAAAGTGCGCAATGCAAAACTGCAGAATTACCTTAATTTAAAAGTGATATTCATAGGGGATTTTTCATTTGTAAAAATATGATAACTACTTTAAATACTTCATGTTCGGAAAATACTATGGTTTGTCAGCAAGACGGGGGGTTTCTGCATGCATGTATTTTCTAGTTAATTGTACGTATAATATTTTTTTCGCTTAAGCGGTTTGAAGTAAACTGCCGAAAATATTAAATAACATGCACCAATTAACAAATGATAGCTTTTTAATTTTCATTATACAGTAAATCGATTAAGACATTGTTATGTTTATGTTACCACCATCATTTTTAACTTTATGACAGATCTCATAGATATTAAACTGAATCCAGTTTCATAAGTAGATTCGATACATTATTACAAAGATAAAATATCATATAAATCTTAAAATCATGATTTCAATCTAGTCATGTATTTAGTAAGCGCGCGAAATTCATGAGCGTCACGGCAGTGAACTGTATGTAAACTGGAAGGCTAACTCAGGGGAGGGGGTTTAAGCCAATGCATTTTCGTTTTTCTGAGTTATGAGCAAAAATACTCAACACTGAACGTTGTGCTGCATATGAAATTGAAGCTATTGAAAAACTCTATTCGGTGTAGAAATTCATGACTTTTAGCTAAAAGGGAAATATTTAAAAACTAGAAAACTAATGGCCAATAATTTGACATTTTTTGGCCGAATGGCAATTATTTTCGTATTTTAAAAATATTTTTCTTTTCGCTGAAAGGCTCAGCAAATTCGGCTTCAGCAAAATCATAGGCTTTATTATAGGAGTTATAATAAGCCTTCAAGGTTACATAGAGTTCACTGCGTCACGGTTGGTCAAGTATTTCGCAAAGGTCAGAAATTTTGCTTCACAGCGGGACCACAAAGGAAAATGTCGCTTAATTCGCGCGAACAAAATTCACCTGGTGGTAAACTGGCCTTGGAGTCAAACTGTAACTTGAAACAAAATTTCGCACAATTATTTTTGTTTTGTGGAAACAACCGAATTTATATATCCGGCAATTGCTAATTAAAAGTTTAGGTTAGTATAGCCCGCACCTTCACCGAATGCGAATAACGATATGCGACATATGCACTTTTTGTGTTTAGTGGGCCAACTTAAAGCACTTGGTAAGGCTAATATATGTCTTGAGGAGTATTTTACTATCGCGGTTTTTTTATGAAAACCTGCTTTGAAAACGAAAACAAGCCGCGCGTCAGTTTTGGTCAGACAAACTGACCAGAAGAGACAGAAAATTCAGTTTACTTTTTCACTGGACCACCACAAAAATGATTTTGTTGAATGTTATATATATAATAATCAATAAATTACTTTACCGCCACTTACCCGCCACAAGAAGATGGTAGTCTCTTTTCTTCAAACGTTTTCTCCGCTCGTCAAGAACGTTTAAAATATCAGGAATGTAAGTGTTGAGGATTGAAAGAACTTTTTCGTCCATTTCATACAAACAGTCATTGACTTCGCAGTAGTACTCTTCCAATTTATCTCGTTTCAACATGTCTTCTTCCTTGGCTTTCGATATGACAGAGAATCCCTTTTAAAAACAATTGAATATCTCTTAATCTAGACTAGGATCACTGTTGAATGTGTGGTTTAGAGTTGATGAATCAGAATGATTTCAAACCTGTTACGTTATCGGCTCAAGCGAATTTAGGTCCATTGATGCAATAGTTCTATTGTCTTTAGTGTGCGCTAAGACGCTAACGCTTCGCGACACAATATGTATGCCGAAAGTGCATGTAAAGGAAGTTTGAAGTTGATATTTGTCGAAGTTTGGATACAAGCCAGAGAAAGAGCGTAAAAAAGGGATGGAAACGCACGCTAATTAAATTTCAATCAAAGTTTTTAAATTAAAAGCAATTTTCTTGGCAAGTATTTACCCCGGGGAGGCGTCCCCTCCTGAAATAAGACCAAAACCATTGAAACCCTCCCAATATATTTTTTTAGTGGGAGGGGGGGGCCTTACAAAAATTTCACATTAACGTTCATATATGAAATTGTATATGAAATTGGAATTTCATATATGAAATAAAGATTTTCATATGTGAAATGAAGATTTTCTTCATATTATGAAACTAGAATTTCACATATGAAAAGGTAATTTCATATATGAAATTTCAGTTTCATATCGGTAAAATTTTCTTTTTCACATATTAAATTCCCGGCATATATGAAAAGCAGGTCATGTATGAAATTTTAATTTCATGCATATGTGAAAAACTAATTTCATACGTGAAATCCATTTCACATGTGAAATTTGGTGAAATTTGGTTGAATTTGTGAAATTTGATTTCATTTAACCATTTTCATATCTGAAAATGAAGTCATTTTTGAAATTATATACAATTCACATATGAAAAAACAAATTTCATATATGAAATCCATTTCATATGAGTGATATCAAATTTGGTAATTTCATATGTGAATTTTCATATATGAAAATCAAGTCATATATTTCACATAATTATTACCAAATTATACATTTCACATATGACAATTAAAGTAATTTCATAAATGTGATTCATGTCATAAGAACTGTAATTGGAACTGCCTATATCATACATATACAAAATTTTCACATATGGATCGCGGGCATCATATTTCATATAATTTACGAAATTATAATTACCCGAAAATCAGTTCCTCGATACCGAGACCAGTTTTGTTAATATGTCTAATTGCTCATTTATTTCACAATACACAGTAGGCACATCTAATCTCTATTAATTAGATTTGGTAGCTTGAACAACATTTTACCAGGTAGCAAATGTCCGCTTCCTAGGCTATAACAGCAAATTTGTGTGTATATTAGTTTAGAATTTTTTATGTCGTATATAAAATCTATTAATTAATTAAATCTGTATATTTGGATGTTCAGCCATGTGTCAGGGGCTGGGAACTATAGAATATTAGGAATGATTAGTGTGACGTCACAGCCTCGTGGGAACTGAGAAAATTTAGAAGTGAATGTGATATAGCCCGAGCGCTAGTGAAATATACTTTGGGTAGTTTTGTTTAACTAATAAAATATACTAAACTGTTGTGACGTTGTCGGGGAGTACTATTCCACGGAAGCGAAATTCTGGACACAGTGGAACCTACCGAACGAGATACTTACCGCAAGTAGTAGAAACGAAGCGTTGGTGAATATGGGGTCGACCGCGTTGGAGACGAAGCTAACACAGCTAACTATGGCAACGAAAAGAACTGCTAACATTTTGGATGCAGGTAAGATCGAGCCGATTAAAACGCACCTCGAAACGCTGCAAACAATTGTGCGAGAAACAAACCAAAGTAAACGCACTGCAGAGGCAGAAAAAATTGACCAGAAAGAGGACATTTCCGACATTAAGGCATGGAATGACGAAATTGAAAAGCAACTCGAAACGGACGACAATGAGGTCAAACGTCTTCAGGATTGGCTTGATGAAAAGGAACATACACAAAAGTTTGCAGCGCAAGAGGAACAATTTCAGTTTGAGATTAAATTGCATGAGAAAAAACTACAAATGCAAACCGAGCTTGCTAACATGTCTAAAAATACACCGGAAACGAAGGAATGCGGGGCATCTTTTTCCCAAACAGCAAAACTCCCGAAGTTAGTCATCTCTAAGTTCGAGGGGTCGCACATGGATTGGCCCAGATTTTGGGGCCAGTTTACTGAGGCAGTTGACAAGAGCTCTATTCCAACAATCACTAAATTTACCTATCTATGTGAATTGCTCGGCCCCAGGGTAAAACGATGTGTAGAAGCCTTGCCCTTTACTCCGGAGGGTTACAACCGCGCAAAAGCAGTGCTAAAAGACAAATACGGGAAGGAATCCGAGATCATTCAGTGTTACGTTAAAGAAATTATCGACCTTCCCCACATAACGAGTTCAAACACGAGAAAAATAGCGGAATTTAGTGAGAAAGTAGCTTAGTTTAGTGAGAAAGTTTAGTGATAAAGTCGAAAAGGGTCAATTACTGTCAATCAACAACCCTGAATATCGTAAGTGGAAACAACGCTACGAACACCTCAAGCTGCTCCCAATCAACGATGACGACACGAAACGTCAACTTACTGTTCATATTATCCTTGGCAGCGGGGAGTATGCGCGAATTAAAACTGACGAAAGGCCCATTGTTGGCGGATATTGTGAACCATAGACGAGAGGACGAACTTCGGGTGGTTCATCATGAGCCCTGGGGCTGAGTTCGACCATGGAACGATGCTGCTGACCCAAACCTCGCGGGCAGATTTCAAAAGTCTATGCCGCCTGGATGTTCTCGGGCTCGCAGATACCCCGGAAAACGATCAAGACACGGTTTATCAAGACTTCAAGGAACAACTCGTCAGAGATAAAGCGGGCTGGTATGAAGCTGCTCTTCCTTGGAAATCCGATCACCGGAACTTGTTTTAAAAATAGTTTCATCAATAGATGTATTTTTAGATATAATTTAGCTTTGCAACTCTAATATAACCTAAAAAATTTTTAATGTTAAAAACTTGTAATATATTTTAAAATAATTGATTTGTAACACTTGATATGTAATTTATCAATTGATTTGGAAACTTTAATAATTTTGTTATATACTATATATATACAATGGTAAATCTCACTAATTTAAGGTAACTTACAATTGGCTATTTGAATCACAACTATATGAACTAATAAAAATGATAAGACAGAACACATGAAAATATATAAATATACAAGACAATCAGATATTTCAAATAGTTAACAAGTCCGGACTTTCCCATTCCTTATTTCGGCAGCAAAAAATATAGTATGTACTTCGAATGGCAATAGTCATCATTTTCCTAACACAGTACGTTTGGTA